CGTATTCGTACTGATGAAAGCGTAATCGTAAATTTTCATTTCGTGATGATTGTAATTCATGACGTCGTAATTTTTCAATTCGTATTCTGATGGATAAAATACACACAATATATTTTATGTACGACTGGACTCATTTGAGAGTTTACAAATATTTATTTTATGCGCAACTACAGCCAAATATGCACGGATTTCTATTTTATGCGCACGAATATTTTTGACAGCTTTCTTACTCCATATGCGCGGAGATTCCATGCGAATGAACTACTACAACACGCAGCAGCAAGCGGACTCTTTCTTTGTCTTGAAAATTACGTTTTCAGACATAGGATATCGCATTCGTGTCCTGAAAAACGTTTGTCTAACTCTTGGAAATAAAGTACGTTTTCATAATAAGCAGAAGTTTCCTGTCCAGGAGTAATTTGTGGACCAGTGCGTCAGTCTTTAGACCCTGCGTCTGCTTTCAGTCGCGCCATCGCTGGAATGAATCTTCAAGAATCACCTTAGTTTGGCTTCGCTGCTTTTCCCCTTGTCTTCTTCTTTCAGCGACCTCAAAAACGGACTTTCTTTTGCGGCGAACTGCTCCTGGATTCTTGTCGCCATTGCAACAAACTTTGTGCGAACTGCGAGGAAGATATAGGTCAAAAAAAGCCGCTAAGAACTGTTGCGTTGGTGGAGTAAACAGCGTCTGTGCGTCTTGCGTCATTGACAATTTGAAATAAAATAAAAAATCCTCCATACAACCTTTAAACAAATTCTTACAAGGAAAAAAACATCAATTTGAATCTGTTTTTTTTTTTGGAAGTAGATGTAGGTAACGAGGTAGATTTACTTGAGTTACTTGATCTAACTGGAGGCACTGCTCTGTCTGAAGCACCGTTACTCAAATTAAACTTCAATCTGAGTTTTGTTTTTACATAATCTGACCAGAAAGAACCGATTTAAATCAAACTACAAAAGGTGGGCTGATTTGTGATGTTAAAAAAGTCTTAAAACTTCTTCAACAGTGTTTGTTAATGTGTGTCACTATGGTAACACCTAAATATTCCACTATAAGAGACACGTGTAAACAATGTTGGGAGTAACGTGTTATAAAAGTAATGAATTACTGTGCTTTTTGCTGTAACGCAGTAATGTTACAGCATTACAGGGGGAAAAAAAAAAAATGATGTTATTAACCTGGATTGAAGTGGTGGGTTTTTCGTTTTTCTTCATACAATTCACTAAAATCAGCACAATATCAGCAGCGGTAAAACGGCATTGTTACGGTTCCAGGTGTCAGGGCGGGCCCAGAGGTGCGACCGCGTAGACCAGGGTGTCAAACTCATTTTGGTCCGGGGGCCGTATCCAACCTACATTGATCCCAAAGGGGCCGGATCAGAAAACTCATGTCATATAAACCCCAAAAATAACAATAAGATCAAATATTTGTGCAGAGAAACGCAAATCTATTACAGAAATCTTTTTTCATTGATGAACTTTTTCTTTTACAAAATATTATAATATTATGAACAACCTGAAACTTTAAGAAAAAATACAATTTCAACACAATGTTTTAACATGAACTTGTATGTAAATAGGAATAAGTCTGTTTTTGTTGTAAAATCCTGCACTCGGCTCCACTTTTCTCATGTTGGACATTTTTCTGATGAGGGTGTCACGGTCAACAGTCAAAACGATCGTCCTTTAAGAGCGTTTGGAAAGAGACAAGTCTTCATTTGTGCTGCTCTGGTGGGAGGGGCCACGTACAGAGACGCTGGAGACGCTGCTGTGATAAACACCACAGAAAATTAACAAGATTTTTTAATAAAACATAGAATTTAAATATTTTAGTAGAAAATCAGCCGAGGGCCAGATTAAAGGTCTTGGAGGGCCGGATCTGGCCCCAGGCCGTATGTTTGACACCTGTGGCGTAGACCGTCGGGTGACTGCAGGCGAAAGGACCGATGCAGAACTTTGAGAACACCCTGCTCCACGGGCTCAGGGTTCTCTCAGGGGCAGTCCTAAGATTCCAAGTCCTAGTCCAAGATTAGTCCTGTTTTAAACCTGGTTTAGTCCTGGTTTAGACCTGGTTTAGACCCAGATTAGACCTGGTTTAGACCTGGTTTAGACCCGGATTAGACCTGGTTTAGACCTGGTTCTCTACATATACGGCGCAAAAGTTCGGCATTCCGTGACAGTTATTTTGTTGAGAGTAACTTAAAGTGCTGCAATAGTCGTGTAATATTTTACATTTTACTGTAGAACACCTTCAGTGTGACGTCTCCAGGGTGATTTCCAGCAGAATGTCCAGGTGTTCAATAAATGTGTTCACAAGTATGATACAATTATATCAAAGGGTTAGGGTTTAAGATTCAAGATTAAAATGTTGAATTTGTGAAGCTAATTTCTTTCCCAGTTCTTGTTTATAATGTTTTTACCTCCTCAAAAACATACCTGGACTTGTTTTACTTTCTTGGGTTCTTTTTAAACACAATATGATCAAGTGTATTTACCTTGTTGACATGTTTCTGCTGCTGCTGCAAACCGTCTTCAGAACTTCAGAACTACACAGTACATATTTTAACATGGACTCCAAACTGCTCCTCATTTTACTTTGCTTAAATTTCCCGAGTTCTGAAGACGGTTTGCAGCAGCAGCAGCCGAAACATGTCAACACGGTGAATACATTTTACTGTATTGTTTTAAAAAGAACCCAAAAAGTTAAAATACGCAAGACAAAATCAACATCTTTGACTTAAGAACTGGAGTTGTTTTATTTACATCTCCAACGATCATAATGTTCTGTTCCACCTTGTGATGTCATGACGTTGTAGTTTAAGATAACAGCTACATTTTACTTTTAGTTTAGTAGAGACTGGCTGACATTATCCAAATGATTCTAGGGAAGGTGTAGGGAGTTTAAAACCACAGTGGAGCACTTTCTGTATTACCGCATGACATCACAAGGTGGAACAGAGTGTTTTCGGTTTTAGAGAAGAACTCAGCCTAAATATGCAGGTTTTGTGTGAATGAAACAAAACACAAGTCCAGGTTTAAAACACAACGGATTCCAGGCACTCCAAAAAAGTAGGTCTTTTAACTATATTTTTCCTCATGCGATTTTGAACTTTTCTACTTTTTTTGAGTGCCTGAGATCCGTTGTGTTTTAGTTTTGATCCTTTTTCCAAGAGCGCCCTCTACCTGCTCCTACTGATTGGAAACCTGCGGCAAACAGCCACATTTTTGTTCTTTCTGCACAAGTCCAGGTTTGTTTATGATGAGGAAACAACATTATAATTAGGGGTGTCAAATTATCGCGTTAATTGCGATTAATTAATTACAGTCATATTTAGCGTGTTATGTTTTTTAATCGCGTTAATCTCATTTTTAATCTCTAACTTTACTGTTTCTGTATGCGAGTTGCTTTATTATAAAACCTGTTTTTATGTGTTGTTGGGACAACAACACACACAAAAAACACATTTATACTTTTTTTTTTATTTCGGTAATTCCACTCGTTGCCGGAAAACCACACAAAACGCCTGCAGTAAAAGCGATGTAAACGTCATGTTAACGTTGGCGGCGTCAGTCGCACAATGGACGAGGTCGAAGAGCCAGTAGAACAGAGCAGCAGTGCACAGGGAAAAACACATTCGTGTCTTGGAAATTATTCTCCCGAAGTGAAATATAAAAGAAAATAACAAATATAAAATCGCCTACAACTTAAATGTCACTGGTGAAAACAACCTGCATAGACTCATGATGTCTGCACTACTGTCCTATAGTGACACATGCACACAACACACAAACACAAACACACACACACACACACACAAACACACAAACACACACACAACACACAAACACAAACACACACACACACAACACACAACACACACAACACACACACACACACAACACACACACACACAACACACAACACACACAAACACAACACACACACACAACACACACCACACACAACACACAAACCACACACACACACACACAACACACACACACAAACACAAAACACAAACACACACAAACACACACAAACACACACACACACAAACACACACACACACACACACACAACACACACACAAACACAATTCATCATCGTCATTAACCTGAGAACGCGCGGACCACGTTTCCTTCCGTAGTTACTGCGCGGACACCGACGTGCTCCCGTGAGCCGCGTGTGGATCGTGTTTTCTCACTACGCTGCGTAAACCGAGCTTCCTCCTGTGAGCCTCTAAACCAGAACTAACACCAAGACTAAAACCAGGACTAACCCAGTCCAGGACTAAACCAGGACTAAACCAGGACAAAACCAGGTCTAAAGACTAAACCAGAACTAAAAGACTAAAACCAGGTCTAAACCAGGACTAAACTAAACAGGTCTAAACCAGTGATCTCATATATAAAGTATTTCTCTATCAGTGATATTTTGAATATGGTTAAGGAAAGACTGAACTTTTTATTGTCTTTAAGTCGACAAAAGTTATTATGTTCAGATTTCCTCGTCTTTGCTACTTTACAGCAAACAGTTTCTTATTCATGGAGACTTGGGCTCAACAGCCAATTTGGAGAGATTTGTTAAACAATAAATGACTTTATAAAAGTCACTTTTTTTGTTCTATATGAGTCTTTTGATCTGCCACAATAATGTAATAATGAATTTAAATGAAAATACCTCAAATTGAAGCTTTTCTCAGCAATTTTTAGGTGAGATTAAAATGAGATTAATTAGATTAATTAATTACAGATCATAATTAATTAATCTCTCAATTTTTTTAATCGCATGACAGCACTAATTATAACCCCCGTAAAAAGACTCCTTTAAAATGGCAAATTTGTTAAGCTAATAATTGCCCGATTTTTGCTATAATTGTTCCACAACTGATCGTTTTTGTAGGGAGTATTCAAAAACTGTTCCCTTGGCTCCTGCACTCTTTCTGAAATTAAGCCTCAAATTGAATTCAACAATTCCATTTGTTTTCTTCATTTCCTCGTACCTTTCCTGGAGGCCTCGAAGCTGTCGTAGATGTTTATCCTCTGAATGTCGTAGGTGAGCGTGGTGTTCGGGAGCAGGGTCCTGTTTCTGTTGATTGTGTTTAAAGCGAATTTAAAGGCCAGTTCTTCTGCTCCGGACGGTCCGCTCTCCACCGACTCGAAGATTCCTCCTGGAAGAGACAGAAAGACGAGGTTTTAGTGAGGAGGGTCAGTCAGGAGGGTCTGCGGGTTTACATGGAGATGTTCATGACTCCAGGTTTTTATACAGAGATAAAACTGTAACAGAAACACACTCACTACACTCTAATGTTTGGCTGCACTTTGAGCCCATGGACTGAATAAAAAAGTGGACTAAGGGAGTGTTACATCACCCACAGCGTTCAGCTCCAGTCAAATGAAGCTCATCGAGAGAATATTACCGACAAAACAGTGAAATGAAAACACACATAGAGCGGGTTAATGCAAACATTTTAAAACCAAAATGACAAGCTTCACAGCAGCAATTACAGAGAAACGGGTGGCAATTTTCCAGCGTAAACTCAATTGGAAACAGTCGAGGGAGCCGGAGTCCTGTCGATTTGAGCTCCCTATCGCTACTACTCATGCACACAACCCCCAAGCGCTGTTAAATACCATCGATTTGAGCTCCCAGAGGCCCAAGTGGAGTAACAAGTCACATTTTAAAAGTGTATTGATTTTATTGTTTTGACCAGTTAAGCATCGACATGTGCGTGTTAGATTTGCGGCAGAATACCTACGTTAGATGATTGAATAGTTTGGATTTAATATTTGATTTTATCGTTATCATTACATCGTATTATCATCATATCATGACTTTGTTAGAAAGGCGCTGTATTTATTTAGTATAAAGATTTTAGTGAGTCAAATGAGTTTCCTCCGCAGGGTGGCTGGGCGCTCCCTTAGAGACAGGGTGAGGAGCTCAGTCACACTGCAGGAGCTCGGAGTAGAGCCGCTGCTCCTCCACGTCGAGAGGAGCAGCTGAGGTGGTTCGGGCGTCTGTTCCGGATGCCTCCTGGACATGTCAATAGTCCCACCAGGAGGAGGCCCTGGGGAAGACCCAGGACACGCTGGAGGGTCTATGTCTCTGGGCTGGCCTGGGAACACCTTGGAGGAGCTGGAGGACGTGTCTGGGGTGAAGGAAGTCTGGGAGTCCCTGCTTAGACTGATGCCCCTGCAACCCGGCCCCAGATAAGTGGAAGAAAATGGATAGATGGATGGATTTCAGTGTTTCCAGCCATTTCTTTCCTCTTATATAGTAGGAGCCTTATTTGATAGAGGATATCGGCCTGTCGAAATGAGCTACCTCTACCCAAATTCATCTAAATGAGTGATGAATGGTGATTCTACAGTGGGAGCATTATTTGATGGCCTGTTGATATGTGTTACCTTTGAATGTCTGGACAAGCACTGTAACTTTCTATTCTATTCTATTTTATTCTATTTTATTCTATTTATATTTATTTATTTATTTTTCATTTTTCATTTAATTTAATTTGTATTTATTTTATTTTAATTAATTTAATTATTATTTTTTTTATTTATTTATTTATTATTATTATTATTATTATTATTATTATTATTATTATTATTATTATTATTATTATTGGTAAATCATTTTGAGGATTTGGACATGTACACAGTCTAATAAACCAGAATTACTCAAACACGTGTGAATGAATGAAACAAAACTCAACTCCAGGTACTTTTTTTTTTTTTTTTTTTTTTATGAGATTAAAACATTCTAACATGACTTAAAGCTCACGTGAATCCATTCTGTGTCATACTGGACCTTTAAAGTAAACAAACGTTCTTCCAATCAAACCACCCACATCACGATCAATAAAACTCAGACACTCGAACAATAAATAGCTCCCGAGCTGACAACAATAACAGCTAAACGTATAAAACAGAAGAGTCCCGGTGATCAGCGCTATTGTGTTCTCGCTTTAGGCAAAGGAAGGAAAGAATAAATAAAAGAGTGTGGCTTTACATTTCCTTTAGTTGTAGCTCATCAGACGCGTTAAAGGTGCTGTCAAAAGCACAGAGAGAGAAAGCGAAAGCGCTGCGGGCTCGTCGGAATATGGGAGTGTCAGATTCACAGCTAAACAAAACAAATGTAATACAGGCTGTTAAGAGCCGTCAGCGCCGTGATGGATGATACGAGCGGCGAAAAGACGAGATGAAAGAAGCGCCGCGTCGATTTTACATCCGCGAGTTTCACGACGAGGAAAAGTTGGGACTGTTGTCGTGGCAATTAACAAATCAAAAATAGTACAGTCCTGAAAATGGAACCAAAAGAGGAAAGGAAATGACATTAAATCTAAATCGAAGTGATGAAAAATTTGTGCTGTTGTCAGGGCATCGTCAGTTTTTTTTTGCGGTCTCGGTCTTGTCTCTGACGCAACCGCATTTGGTCTCGGTCTGGTCTCGGTCTTGTCTCGGTCTGTCTCTGACGCAACCGCATTTGGACTCGGTCTTGTCTCGGTCTGGTCTCGGTCTTGTCTCTGACGCAACCGCATTTGGACTTGGTCTTGTCTCGGTCTTGTCTCGGTCTGGTCTCGGTCTTGTCTCTGTCTCGCAACCGCATTTGGTCTCGGTCTGGTCTCGGTCTTGTCTCGGTCTTGTCTCTGACGCAACCGCATTTGGACTTGGTCTTGTCTCGGTCTGGTCTCGGTCTGGTCTGGTCTGGTCTGGTCTGGTCTGGTCTCGGTCTTGTCTCGGTCTCGGTGGTCTCGGTCTCGTCTGGTCTTCTCTGGTCGGTCTTGTCTCGGTCTTCTCGGTCTTGTCTCGGTCTGGTCTCGGTCTCGGTGTCTCGTCTTGTCTCGCAACCGCATTTGGACTTGGTCTGTCTCGGTCTTGTCTCGGTCTGGTCTCGGTCTGTCTCGGTCTTGTCTCTGACGCAACCGCATTTGGACTTGTCTTGTCCGGTCTGGTCTGGTCTCGGTCTGGTCTGGGTCTCGTCTTGTCTCGGTCTTGTCTCTGTCTTCGGTCTTGTCTCGGTCTGGTCTCGGTCTGGTCTCGGTCTGTCTGGTCTCGGTCTGGTCTCGGTCTGGTCTCTGGTCTTGGTCTCGGTCTCGGTCTGGTCTCGGTCTGGTCTCGGTCTTGTCTGGTCTCGGTCTCGGTCTTGGTCTGGTCTCTGTCTCTCTGGTCTCTTGGTCTTCTCGGTCTTGTCTCGGTCTGGTCTCGGTCTTGTCTCGGTTGGTCTGTCTCTCTGGTCTCGGTCTGGACTGGTCTTGGTCTTGGTCTCGGTCTTGTCTCGGTCTGGTCTCGGTCTTGTCTGGTCTTGGTCTTCGGTCTTGGTCTCTGGTCTTGTCTCGGTCTGGTCTCGGTCTGGTCTCGGTCTGGTCTCGGTCTTGTCTCGGTCTCTGGTCTGGTCTTCGGTCTCTCGTCTCGGTCTTCTCGGTCTCGGTCCGGTCTCTCGTCTGGTGTCTCGTCTGGTCTCTGGTCTGGTCTCGGTCTCGGTCTTCTCGTCTTGTCTCGGGTCTCTCTTGTCTCGGTCTTCTGGTCTCGGTCTTTCTCGGTCTTGTCTAGGTCTTGTCTCGGTCTTGTCGGTCTGTCTCGGTCTGTTCTCGGTTGGTCTCGGTCTGTGTCTGTCTCGTCTCAAGTCTTGTCTCGGGTCTTGTCTCTCAATCTTGTCTCGGTCTTGTCTCGTCTGTCTCGGTCTTTCTCTGGTCTGGTAAATATGGGAGTGTCAGATTCACAGCTAAACAAAACAAATGTAATACAGGCTGTTAAGAGCCGTCAGCGCCGTGATGGATGATACGAGCGGCGAAAAGACGAGATGAAAGAAGCGCCGCGTCGTTTTTACATCCGCGAGTTTCACGACGAGGAAAAGTTGGGACTGTTGTCGTGGCAATTAACAAATCGAAAATAGTACAGTCCTGAAAATGGAACCAAAAGAGGAAAGGAAATGACATTAAATCTAAATCGAAGTGATGAAAAATTTGTGCTGTTGTCATGGCAATTAATAATTCCAAACAAAATAATATTATAACATTTAAATAGCGTTGTAGTACAAATAAGTCGTACATGTTCAAGCTCTGGTACGACAACAACTTTAGAATCTCCAGGTGCGAAGATGCTGAACTTTTGCTCCGTATATGGACTAAACCAGGACTGAACCAGGAAAAAAACAGGACTAAACCAGGTCTAAACTAGAACTAAACCAGGTCTAAACCAGAACTGAACCAGGACTAAACCAGGACAAAACCAAGACTGAACCAGGTCTAAACCAGGACTGAACACGGATTAAACCAGGTCTAAACCGAGGACTGAACCAGAGCTGAACAAGGACAAAACCAGGACTAAACCAGAACTAAACCAGGTCTAAACCAGGTCTAAACCAGCACTAAACCAGGACTGAACCAGGACTAAACCAGGTCTAAACTAGAACTAAACCAGGTCTAAACCAGAACTGAACCAGGACTGTACCAGGACTAAACCAGGACAAAACCAAAACTGAACCAGGTCTAAACCAGGTCTAAACCAGGTCTAAACCAGGACTAAACCAGGTCTAAACCGAGGACTGAACCAGAGCTGAACAAGGACAAAACCAGGACTAAACCAGGACTAAACTAGAACTAAACCAGGTCTAAACTAGAATTAAACCAGGTCTAAACCAGGACTAATTCAAGACTAAACCATGTCTAAACCAGAACTAATCTTGGACTAAAACTTGGAATCATTGTAAGCATTGTAATGCGCGATACTGACATTTGCGCAGAGTAAAATATTACATTTTTTTTCACTGTAACATTACTGCGTTACTGCAAAAAGCAACACATTACAGTAATTCGTTACTTTTATAACGTGTTACTCCCAACACTGTGTGGGACACTTTTGGGGCGTTTAAAGTTCACTCTGGAGATCACGTACAAGTCGCATTTAATCGGAAATGTGAACAATCTCTCAAAAAAAATCTAATCCGAACCGAGCATTAAAGGTTGTATGGAGGATTTTTTTTTAGTTTCAAATTGTCAGTGAAAGTTTAAAATACCAGCAGCCTTGTAATTATGATGACCAAAAAAAAAAAAAAAGAATGAAAATTGATCAACTGTGGACGTAGTGAGGCCAGATAAACATCAGCCAATAGAAAACAAGCTCCCTCATTTTCTATTGGCTGTTAGATTGTCAATCAAACTCCCTACGTTTCTAGTGTAACTGACTCGTCATTGCGGGGATTACGTGGTTTATACATCGGTTCTTAGAGGCTTTTTTAAACTGTAGCTTCCTCGCGGTTCGCACAAAGTTTATTGCGATGGCGGACGAGAATCCACGACCAGTTCGCCGCAAGAGAAAATCCGTTTTTGAGGTCGCTGAAAGAAGAAGAGGAGGGAAAAAGGAGCAAAGCCAAACTGAGATGATTCTTGGAGATCTCTTCCAGCGATTACGCGAACGAAGCAGACGAAGGGTCTAAAAACTTATTTCCAGAGAGGTCACTTCAACAGTAATTCTGAACATGCGCTGGATGTAAACAAGTGTGATTTCTAGAGTAAAGAGGCGGGAGAAGATGTTTCTACAGAGGGAGCGGTGGAGGAGGAAGGTGGCGTGTCACAGATGCGCGACATTTGAAAAAGATCTGCCACTGTATTTCTTTTCCCTTAAAAAAATCTTCTATACAACCTTTAAGCCCTGCGGTTTGAACGCCGCCTTATTCTCCAGTTTTCTTCTTCTCTCTCCGTGCCGCTTCGCTTCTCCGCTCCATCAGCTCACAGAACAGCGGCGGCCATCTTGAAGCCTCCTGTCTCGGCGGGGGGTCAGGCTGAGCACAGACGGCCGTAATTACATCAAAACAGTCCCATCCAGATGCCGCTCTCCTCCAAACTAAGCAGCGCACAAAGAGAGGCAGAAAACAAACCCCCGCACTCCGCTCGCTTCGCCGCAGCCTCTCGTTCTAACCGGGCCCCGAGATCTTCCGCTGAGGGGGGGGGGGAAGACGGGCCACTCGCTGTGATTGACGCTCGTGTGTTATGAGGACACTTTAAGCCGAGTGGAGCGTCTTTCACGGATCCTTGTTGAGTTGAGGTACACTTAGCGCGTTAGGGAAATGAGCTTCCTGTGATTTTAGTACCTGGGTTTGGAAATATACGGATTCAGAGGGGATAGAGGAGCGAAAAACTGTAAGACAAGGGCAAGGAATGTAAAACTAATGCTGTTTTAAGATAATGTTACTCAAAGTTGAAGTACAAGAAATTAAAACTTGATGTAACTTTTGTGGTGGAGGGTTTGCCACCTGCTCGTCTCCATGGAAATGTCATTACAGCAAAAAGTGGAGTGTTAAAATCGACTTTTACGAATCAATTTTAACATTTTCTCACGGTTTATATGAGTTCCAAATAGTTAATAAAGCTCTAATAAGTTCTAGAGTTAATTTAACATAAGGTTTTGAGAGTAAACGGATAATACTTTGTAGGGTTATCCTGATTTTACACTTTTTTTTTTTAGATGATTTAACATGAAATTATGTACAAAACTGATTCAGCGTATTCAGGCTACGTCCACACGACAACGCTCCTGGATTTTTTTTTTTTTTTTTTGGAGGTTGAAAAAAATTCGCATCCACACACGTGTCGAATCAGTAAGTACCGTATTTTCCGAGCTATTAGACGCGCTCTTAAGCCTCTAAGCCCATCAAAAAACGATCACGCGCCACAATCCAGAGCGCCCCGTACGCGAATCTACTCGGGTGTCACGGTACGACTTCAGTAAATTACAAAGCCGCACCACCCGCAGAACACACAAACACACACGGAGCAGACAGAGACCGTGCGGC